AATAGTGAAAATAGCACCCGTTAAGGGTTCTGTGAGTCTATATGGCAAAGGCGCTCAACCTCCGGGTCACGGACCGGTACCACTCGAGGCAGCCGAGAGAACCTCGCCTCTGTCTGTGGCTGCAGCCCAGGGGTCCAGGGGCTCTGGGCAGGTCAGCTGCAGCCCTGGGCTCTCAGGGGTCCCAGCCCACTGTGCACGCGGGTGTGGGCAGCTAGGACGTGCTGCTCCGACGAGAATCTCCTGAATAATAAGCGAAACGAGGTGCAGCACGCAGGCACAGCGGGGATAAAGGGCACAACAAATTCCCTGCATCACCCTGAACCTCCCTGCCACATGGGAAAGCGGGTGTCCCCAAACCCCTCCCGGGGCCAGAAGGGGGCGCTTCTTTGTGATTCTGGCTTTCACGTTTAGTGCTAAGATCTACTGTAATTGATTCTTGTGGTTGGTGTGAGGTATGCGTTCCCACTGATCATTTTTTTCTGCCTAAGTAGGCAAATCGTTCCAACACCATTTGATGGAAATATCTCCTTTCCCCTTTGAATTTCTTTGGTACTTTGATGAAGATCAGATATTTGGGGACTCCCTTTAAACTGCCTTGTACTCCAGTGACCCATGGTCTGCCGTATGTCAGCATCACGGTCTTGGTTACTGCGGCGTCATAGCAATCTTAAAATTAGATAACTTTGTTTTTCATTTTTCTTTTCAGAATTGTTTTATTTCTTCAATTTAAAACAAAATACTCTACTTGGCAATTTGTATTAAAAAGCCTCTGAGATTCTGATTCTGATTGTGTTGAATCTATAGATAAATTTTGGGGAATTTCCCATCTTAATGAGAAATGTTGCCAGGTGTGGTACCGCACGCCTCTGTCCCCAGCATTCAGAAGGCCAAGGCGGAGTATCGCCTCAAGTCCAAGGCCATCCTGCGCTACACAGTGAGTTCATGGCCACCCTGAACTACAAAGTGAGACCCTGTAGTTATTTAAGTATTTATTTATTTGATACAGGGTCTTGCTATGCAGCTCAGAATCGCAGTGATCCTCTTGTCCCAGCCTCCCCAGAGCTGGGATTACAGGTGTGCACCACCATGCCCAGTGGTGGGGCTGGCACAGTGCACCTGGGATTGCAGGGTAGGTATGACATACGGTAGCAGGGATCAAACCTGGGTCCTTGGGCTTTCTAGGCAGGCTTAGACTGCCCAGCTATCTCCCCAGTCCCTGTGGTTTATATTTTATTAAGTGATTCCTCAGTATTGTGGGTTTTATGTTAGCTTAAATAGTGTTGTTTAGATTTCAGGTCTCAGTTATTCATTTGCTAATATATAGAACTACAATTGAGTTGTGCTTATTGAACCTCCCTACAGTCGCATACAAGCTCCTGGCTTGGACTGGCCTGGGCTGGGCTGTGTGTCTGATCACGTCATCTGCCCGTGAACATCGTTCCACGCCTCTGTTGACAGTGCTGTGCTTTTGGTTTCTTTGCCCTGTCTTGTTGCATCAAGACCTCTAAGAGACTAAGCCTCTAATCTACGTGGTGAGAGGGCTTGATCTTAACCTCAGGGGACCTGTTTTAGTCTTTCACTATTACATCCGTTGTTAGCTACAGATGTTTTAGCATGTTGAACTTGTCAAACGCTTTTCTTGCATCTACCGGGATGACCATTTTTTCTCTATTCTGTTAAATTGCCCCAGTTCACATTCACATGTTAGACTGACACTGCGTTGCTGGAATAAACTCCATTTAATCACAGTGTTTATTCCTTTTCTATTCTGCTGAGTTTAATCTGCCAGATGTTAAGGATTGTGCATCTATGTTTGTGACAATGTTGGTCAGTAGTCTTATTTCTTGTAATCTTCTGTGCTGGGTTCCAGAATCATCCTTGCCTCTTAAGGTAAGTTGCCGAGTGCTCCCCACCCTCACTGCCACCAGCTTGTTTCTCTAAAATGTGTTGTATAGGATGGGTATCCTGTCTTTTTCCTTAAATGTTTGAAGCTACTGTGTGTGCATGTGTGTCTCTGTATGTGTGTATGCATATGTGTCTGTGTCTATGTGTGCATGTGTGTCTGTGTGTCTGAATGTGTGTGCATGTGTCTGCATGTATCTGTGTGTGTATGTGTGTGTGTGTGTGTGCATGTGCCATGTGTTCTCACACATCTTACCTTATTTACAGTTTTCAGGCATCCTAGCCTTTCCTGATTATTATCAAAAATCTGCAGACAACTCTTGTACATACTTTGTTTGTTTGTTTGTTTGTTGTATTTTAGGGAAGGGTCTACAGGGTGTTTGGGATCTCACTTACTAGACAGGACTGATAATGATCCACATTTTTACAGCCTCCCAAGAGCTGGGATTACAGGTGTGCACCACAACATCCAGTCTCAATTGCCATCTCAGAGCATCCTGGGGGTGAGCCCAGCATGGCAGGCCCAGGGATTGAACCCCCAGCCCCTGCTCCTGCTTGTAAGTTCTTCACGCCACTGAGCTATTTGGTGGGCCCTGTCTTGTACATACTTTGTATGGTGTATTCATTTTTCATCATTGGGACAAACATTTAAACAACTTCAAGGAGGAGAGATTTATTTTGTGTCATGGGTTTAGAGGGTTCAGGTCATGGTCCGCTGGCTCTAGAGTGTGGAGATAGCATTTTAGAAGGAGGAGGGCTTCTCACTTCATGCGAGCTGGACAGCAGAGCCCCAGGGCAGAGTCGGGGTGGGGGTCCAGGCCCAGGGCGTCCTCAAGGCCACATCACAGCAGCCTGTCTCAGAGCTTTCCCCACCTCCGGTGAGCATGGGAGCTGCAAGCGCGGGGATGGGTGGAGTTAGCACCTTCCGGTCCAGTCACCTCTCGGGGCACCACCCCTGAGCACCGCTGCATCGGAAGCCAAGGCCTCGCTCGGTACATGCGTCTTCGGGGGTCACTCATGTTTAAACCATAACACATGGTGTTGTGGATGCTTCCAGCTGAGAGTTGTGCTCTGCCCATCACTCCACTTCAGTTAGAATAGAGGGCTCTAGTAAAAAACTTATTTAAATTGATGTTATTGCTAGAGGACTTCTAAATTTAATTGATTCATTACTACCCCAATATTGAAATTACTTCATTAGATTATACTGACCACATTTCTATTCAAATCAAAGAGTAACATAATTAATAAAATTAAATATTAGCAAAGACTACTACAGTGAACAGGAGTTTTATCCTGACCCCCTCCCTAGGTTCAATCACTAATAACGCTATTTCTACGCACTTCACTTCTGATCTGCTTTCATGTACAGAACGAAAAACAAATTTATAGGTGGAGTGATTCTATAGAGCTCCATGTGCTCCAGAAATGTGTCTTACATTTTATTCATTCTGCTTATCAACCGTAGATTAAAAATGTAAGTACCTTTGTTTAGAGTTTTGCATTTTCCAAAAAAGTTATCATTCGAACTAAAAATGACTTTACCACCCCCACCAACACCAAAACACCAGCAGTGTGTGTATGACTCTGGCATTAGTAAAAACAGGATGTTTTCTAGTGGCGTGTACAGGGATTGTGCAATTGTGTTTGACTCTTCCCTGTGTTTTGTCTCCACTGCTTTTCATCATAGATTTAGGCCTTGTAGAGAGCAATCACTTTCCACAATGTTTCATAACATTCGGCTTAAGTAGGAGGATTATTAGGCTCACATCACTCTGCATAAGGAACTACAACAGAATTAAACCTAATTCTCTGCTTATCAGACCTTCTCTGTGCCAAATGGACTTTCTTAGACAAACAAATATATTGTTTCAACTTCCTTTTTGGGTATTAAGTTGAAATATTAAACAAATGATAAAATTAAAAGCCACTGGACACTGTGGCATCTTGTTTTGTGAGACAAGGTCTTGCCATGCAGCTGAGGCTGGCCTCAACCTCACCATCCAGCCTGAGCTGGCCTCAAAGTCCCAGCGATGCTCCCGCCTCAGCCTATCCAGGGCTGGGTTTCAGGCAGGTGCCACCAGGCCATCTCGGCACCATGGTCCTTGCCTTTGCTTGGAGTAAGTGGAACATCTGGGTATTGCTCACCTGCAGTGCTGTTTGGGGCACCCTGGAGGACCTGAGGTCTGGAAGTCTCCACCCACTCCAGGGGCCAAAGGGAGAAATCCTCAGGGGGCAGTGGGTACGTTGATATGCCGTTGTCAACTCTGAAGCAGGATTAAATCAAATAAAAAGAGCATTACAGATTGTTATGTTGACACTATAATTAAGGGTCACTGAAGGTGAAAATCTTAAGCACTATTACAGTGTAGAAAATATGTAACTGAATAGTTACATTAACTGAATAGTTAGCACTGAAGAAGCAATTTTTTATAAAAGTACATTATAGTGTAATGCAACAGTAAATTCCTTTGTTAGTGGAACTGGTAAATTCTATGATTGCAGCAGATCTATCTTAGTTACTTTCCTTAGTTACTTTTTTTGTCCTGAGACAAAATACCTGATACCCAAAGGTTAAAGGATGAAAGGTTTATTTTAGCTCATTGTCCTTGGAGGTTTCAGTCCCTAGTTGGCTGCGTCCAAGGTGGGGTGGCAGTGTGTCCAGTGAGGGGCAGGAGGACAGGGTTCTCCCACTAGGACCCTACGCCTCTCTTCAAGTCCTCGCCTTCCCTCTAAGAATGAAGAAGTAGCGTTGTAGGGAGGAAATTGGGGAGTCAAGACTGATACAGTGCAAAGTAAGTTTACTTAAAGTGTGGCAAATGCAGGGAAGAAAGAAGAGCAGAGTGGTGCTACAGGCTAGGCGACATCCCGCTTGGGACGCCCAGTTAGTTTGACACGTACTCCATCCTAACAGGGGAAACCTGGTTTCTAAAACTAACTGTCTCATTAATTGGCCTACTCTAGGCCAATCAGGATCTTAGCCTTTTTTTTTTCTGGGAAGGGGACAAGGTCAGCATGCAATAAATGTGAGTCATGCTTCCATAAGTATACGGTAGGGTGCATTTCCCAAGTACATGCTACACAGATAAGTACGTGAAGATTTTAGTGTTCATCGTTGGGTTTTGCCCTGAATTTTTATGTTCATGTTCCTCTAATACGCCCCTACAGTGCATGGCGGAGGGGCGTGTAGGAAGGGAAGTGGTCCACGGCACAGCAGCCAGACAGCAGCCACAGCAAGAGAAGCCGGTCTTCTTTCTCGTCCCCCAATATTCCTTCTAGACTATAAGCCTGTTGGTTGGTGCCACCCACACTCAGCCTGGAGCTTCCCATTTTCCACATCCAGAACTGAGGTAAATCAATTAATTTAGTTACAGCTAATTTAACTAATTAGTTAAATTAATTTAACTAATTAGACTAATTTAGTTATAACTTACTCTTCCATAATTTTATTGAGAAATAAATAGCAATGAGACAGTTTCAAATCAAATTGGTAGGACAGTTCCAATAATTAACACATTGCATACTGCCTTCCTAGTGGTTATTTGTTGTACAAGATGCACTTACTCTTAATCCAAGTTCAAATACCCTAAATCCAGCCACTTCCAACAAGCCCCACCTACGAGCACGAAAAGCTTTGGGTAAGACCTAGATACAAGCCAGAACAAGCCCTTTTCCTGTTATTTGTTCCCAATCAAAATTAACAACTGATGAAACTAAAATCAAAAATCTTATTAATATCTTGCAACAAATTCACAGTAAAAAACAAAAAAACAAAACAAAAAACCTAATGGTTTATTTAAGGCAGTGAATTTCAAGCCCACAATGGTTTGGAATCATCCAGAGTCTTAAAAAATTCAAATTCTTGCCTCATACCCAGATATTTGGATTTTTTCTGAGAACTGATGTATGCTGCCTCAGAGGGCGACAGTCTGTCTTACTGTGGTGTCTGCCAAGAGGATGATGCTCTCTGAATAGCCTCCATCAACACCCCCCGTCCATGGTAAGCAACTCTCCTCACCTCGCCTTCCTCACTCAGCCAACTCTGTTCCTTTTCTAACTAGATTTTAGATCCCTTGAACTCTCGGTCCCATGTATACAGTTTCTGATCTGTCTAAATTCTGGTTAATCCAGTCAAGGCCATTTCTTAATGAATGGAGGGAACACATGTTCACTATTTCTAAATCAAAAATTAGAAAGCCTTTGTTCTTGGTTGTTGGGTAGTGGCTTGGTCTGGCTTGGTTTTAGTTAATGGATTGGTTTAGTTGAGTTGAGTTTAGGAGTAGGGCTGGTTTCTCCTTTTGGCTCTTTAGTTTTGCCCTTAAATTTTTAATTTTTTTCCCTTTTTTAATACACCATCATCTAGGGCTGACAAAGTCATTAGGAGACCTAAAGGAAATGGGAAGGTCTCTCATTTGAAAATAATTTTGGTGGCCCCCTGATAGGTAAGCAGAGCCGTGAGTAGATGGAGGTACTCGGGGAGGAAATTATCCCGAGAGACGCCAGTCTCCGTTTGTGTGGAGGAGGCTTGGAATAAAGCCAACACCAGACCCACCACGGCCATAATCTACCCACAATTATACCCCTCTTTTCCTAGATCTATACCTTGTGGCCTTCGTGGGCCCCCCATACCATGTGCATCACTGAAATCCTAATTCACAGAAACTGCTTGGAGTTTGGGGAGCAATCCATGTGACTGAGAAACACATGGAGGAGCTACCGTCTCAGTTGGAATTCAGATGTGTGCCCCAAGTTCTGGTACTTTTCCTACTACAACACAAGCGATGGATAATGTTCACGAGCATGCTGCTCTTTCATGAGCTACCAAAATATTGAAAAAAAAGAGAAATGTTTCATAGAAACATGAGAAATTAGTACTATAGATCAAGACCCTCTGTCTGATTTGCTATTCATAAAGTCACTTTATCCATCTGATCACTTGGAATTTCAAAAAACAATAACAACATGTAAAATATCAAGACAGTCTAATTTTTGAACCTTATTTATAAAGCAACACAAGTTATTTTACAGTATATTTATCCATAGGTATGGACAAACAAAGTATTAGGGTGAAGAGCAAGCTTCCCTGGCACAGGTCTGTAATCCCAGCCCTTGGAAGGCTGAGGCAGGACTGCTGTGAGTTTGAGGCAAGCCTGGACTACTTAAGCAAGGTCAAGGCCAGCATGCACTACATAGTGAGACCCTGTCTCAAAAGTTTCTTAGGTGCCATGTGTTGTATTTTTAAATAGGAACATCGATTAATGGCATATATGCAAATTGCATAAATGTTATGCAAATTGCATGACATTGGTTTGATAATTCCGTGTATTAGGAAATTACATGTATTAATGTAAGTGCTTATTGTACCATTCATGCTTATGGCATGAACTACTTGATGCACGTTTTGTCTATCTTTTAGTCCTACAATGTAACTGTGCACGTCTGCTACCGAAGAGGAAACGAGAGTCTACATCGCATTATACTGATTTCGTTTTCTTAATTTTTCAATGACACTTTAATAGTGAGGACCAATTTAGGGAAAAAATTGGGTGAGATATATGCTGTTTGTTCCACTGGGGAAAAAAAGAGCGATGGCAGAAGCGACAGGATTCTATTAGGGATGAGCCAGGATCCGCTCTGACTTTTAGCCAGGCGTTTGTGTGGCACCAGGGCCGCCCGTGTGCTGGGCATGTCCTAACGCTGAGGCTGCGCCAGCCCTGCTCTGACATTTTAAGCTCTCAGACTGACAGCAGCCCTGTTATCACCAAAATATCAAGTACAAGGTATTCCAGTTAAGGGCTTATGCTGAAATCCTCTGGCATAGCCTAATGGTCTCCAATTCTTTCTTTTCTTTTTTGCATGCACTTACTTTTTAAAATGTGAGCATGCTCACCCCAATATTTGTATGCATATTTATTTTTAAAGTATATGCATGTACCACCATGCTAATGTATTCTATATGTAGAGAAAATAGAAGTTTTAAAGCAGAACATACAAATATAAATAACACTTTAATATGTCCTTGCTTTCCACAGGTAGATTAATGTTTACAGAGGTTAGCAAATTTGTTTTCCCCTCTAACTCCCAGAAAAAATAAAACAGCAACCTAAGAATCTACCAGGAGAAACATGAGTTTTTGTTCTTATATTTTACTCTTTGGTAAAGAACTTTAAAACTAGAAATGATGTTTGCAGTTCAGATGCTTGTGTGTGCATGTAATCTGTTATGTGGGTGTTAGGAGGGTTTTGGATTCACGCAAGAAGATTCCAGATTAGCTTGATTTTTATCTCTCCCTTGCGCTCTGGAAAGAAGACAAAAATAAACCCTGCTCTTTCTACTGAAGAAACAGCACAGAGTTTGATAGTGTCCCTGGTCTTCGCCCTTGGACAAGACATCCCAAAGCCTCTAGGGATTGTCCATGAGTATGGACAAGTCCATCTGACTTTTGATATTTTCCATACATTATTGTTTTGGGTTTTTAAAATCTTATTAAAAATTATTTACATATTTGGTACAGGATCTCACTACGCAGCTCAGACTCGTAGTGATCCTCCTGCCTCAGCCTCCTCAGCATTGGGATTACAGGCGTGCACCACCATTCCTGGTCTCAGGGAATGGCTCAGCGCACCTAAGGCAGGGCCAGTGCCGCATGCCGTACTGGGGACCGACCTCTGGTCCTTCCGCTTGCCAGGCAGGTGCTTAGACGGCTGAGTCTTCTCCCCAGTGTTTTTCTTACTGTAGACGCTAGTGCAAGCTTATAGAAATGGCAGTCAATCATTGAAAGGCTATTATGTCACTGTCACCAGAAATGAACCAATAATAATGCACTTATCTTACTGTTTTTTTTTTTTTTTTTTTACATACTGCTTTGTTTCTGGTTGATAAAAAAAAATATGTTATTATTAAACATCTGTTTTGGAAAATACTGAAAACAAAACTTAACAAAATTAAAATTAACTACAATCTCATTTCTTAGAGGTAATACCAAGGAATTTTTCCTATGAAAAATATTTTAAAACTTCGTGTCATACTGAAGGTACCATTTTCTTTCGTCTGCATTAAGTAACATCTAATCGTGAGCGCTTTCCATGTCATGCATGTGTACGTAATGATTACATTCACCATGAGAAGGGGACACGTGCACGTAATACGCACATCCTAATACTCTTTACTTTCTGTCATGTCATACATCGTCTTTTCCTAAGACAGTCTCCCTGTGTGGCTCACACTCGTCCTGAGTCACTATGGAGCCCTGCCCCGCTCAGATTCATGGTGATGCTCCTGCCTCAGCCTCCCAAGTGCCGGCTTGCCGCTGTGTGTCACCATACCCAGCCATACATCTTCTAAAGTCTAATCTTTAGTGATGGCAGACCATTTCATCCAGTAGAGATGTAGTATAACCTAAGCACTCACTGATGGTGGATACTTGGGCTATTTCTTATTTTTTCAAATTTTTTGTGGTGGTAAGAATCTCTCTAAGCACTTTTTTTTTTTTTTTTTTTTTGCAGACCCAGGGATTGAACTCATGCCCTTGCGCTTGCCAGGCAAGCGCTTATTCCACTAAGCCATCTCCCCAGCCCCTCTCTAAGCACATTTTATTGCATCTTGAATTACTTAGGGTAGATTCAAAGAAAATTCTTAATGGAAAAAAACAACATTATTCATATATTCTTGATAATATTTCAAAATTGATTGAAGATTCTTCTACTAATTACAACTCTATTAATGATGTCCTTGTGGCCTAAGGCAACCCTAACCCTAATATGATCTCTAAAGCTCTCTCAGGAGAGGCTGACTGTGAAGAGATGGGATTGTGCAGTGCTGGCCTGCCCTTATGGACTGCGCTGAGTGGTTTCATGGTGTACGCATGCGTGTATGTTCACAGAATAGGATTCTTGTTATGGCCTAGATCAGAAGTGTTCCTGGTAGAAAAGTATGAAGATGAAATATAGGAAGTAAAGCCATGTTGTTATGTTGAGCTGTGGGGGACTCACGTCAATTTCTGACATTGCCAATTAAACAGAAGACCCAATGCTATTATGGGCTTCTGTACTCTTTTAGAATATTTTGCTGAGTTTACACACCTATAATATTTAACAACGGAACTTAAAAAAAAATCGGGGTATAACTATGAATGTCCATTTTGTATCTGTGTATTCAAAGTGGTTGGGATAGATATATAGTTGCATTCTCTTAATGAATAGAATGATTTTTTCTAATGGTGTTTGTAAGTAGGATCACAAGTCTGCATCTTGTACAGCAATTAACCACTAAGAAGAATATATGCAGTGTATTATTTGTTGAAACTGTACTTTCGATTAGATTTGAAACTGTCTCATTGCTATATGTTTATCAATAAAACTTTGAAAAGAAAAAAAAAAAAAGAAGTGTTCCTGGCTGGGCTTCAGGAAGATACGTGGCTCACGGTGCCCTGTGTTGTCTCTGGATTAGCCTGTTGATGAGTTCCTGGCTGGACATACTTCTAGGAGGTAGAAGCTCCAGGAACCTCTGTTTCCAGCACTCTGGGAGATTGAGACCCAATGATTGTAATTTGAGCCCAACCTGGGCAATTGAGCAGCTTAGTGAGACTCTGTACCAACTTTTTTTAAAAGGGCCAGGAATATAGCTCAGTGCAGAGGTCTTGCGTTCAGTTCCACTCTGTGCACAGAAGGAGCCAGGACGTAGATGGAGAAGGCCGGGGAGCGCGACCCGGAGCAGTGAGTTTTCTTCTGCCATGACGCCGGGGCCCTGGAGCCAGCAGACCGCAGGCTGATCCCTCTCAAACTGGGCCAAAGTAAGCTTTAGGTGGGAGGTGTCAGGCATTGTGTCCCAGCAAAGAGACTGTACATTTAAGATTTTGACCAGCCAGGAAGTGGGGGACATGCTCTCCCAGGGCTGGGATGGAGGAGAGAGCGGGGACACGCTTGCAGAGGGCCGGGACAAGGAGGATGAGGCAGGAAGATGCAGCTCGGCCTGCACCATCTGGTGACTTTAACAGACACTGTCTCAGAAGAAAAATTTAAAAGGGGTGGGTATGATAGCAGGCGTGAAGGCCCCGGATTCAGTCTCCAGCAGGGGAACACTGGGTTTTGACCTTTATGGTATGCATGTTATTTCTCAATCTTTTAGTATTTCATCTATGTTTTATATTTGCCAATTTGTGTATTTTTTTTCATTCATCTTACCAAGTCGGTCACATTGCCCACAGGAGAAATAAACAAATTTCTTTCTCTGATTATTGAGGAATATAGCTCAGCAGCATAAGCACTGCCTAGCAAGCACAAGGTCTCAAGTTTAACCCCCAGTACTACACACACACACACACACACACACACACACACACACACACAAAGTTGTATTCATTTGGGCTGAGGAGATAGATCAGCAGTCTAGGTGCCTGCCTGGCAAGCACA